CGGGCCGGGCTGGGCTCTGCCCGGCCGCGGCGCCACAGAAAACAAGAACGACCTTGGTGAGAATTTTGAAGACGAGGGGAGGAACCGGGATGGTTTTTAAGCTACTCTAGGGGAAGATTTGTCCAAAGCTCGAAGACGATAATCCCGTTTGATAATGCCTTTGAGAAATCAGGATGGGATGCCGTCAGAAAACGCTGGCTGCGTGTCTCAGGACAGCGATATATGGCTCTCGGCCTGGAACTTGGGGGGAGATGCTGGGAAGGGCAAGGAGGCGAGTAAGCAGGGGATTCGAAGTCTCCAAGAGCAGCGGTGGAGCCGTCCCCGAGGGATGACAGCTCTGAAGGCAGGAAGTGGCTATGCTGCCAGGCTGGTTCCGGTGCTCTGAGGTACTAGACAAGTGTCAGGGTGTAAGGTTTTACCCATCTCTTGCTTGAAATGTTATTTATTTACTGCTTTGCTGCACTGCAGGCTGCAAGCTAGATGCTCACTTCCTAAGTGGTAACCTAGAAGCAGTGTTGCTGTGACCGTAACTCTATGCTAACAGGCATCCCTAATGAGATCTCTGTACTGTTGTCTAACGTAGTATCTCCTATGCAGAGATTATTTTCTTTCTTAAATGGGTATCAGCATTAATGATCCTCAGGACAAGTGCTAGATGGACATCGCTGCTAATTATATTAAATGTATATGTATGAAAATATATATATTAGCCAAGCGGAAGTCAAGCATCAAATGTGACTTCGGCCTTTACCTTAAAAAGACAGTAAAGTGACAGTAAATTCTAATGTCCTTTTCGGTATTGTGAGATTCTTGTTTCTCATTAAAAATCCGCTTGCCATTTTGCAGTCCTGCTGCTGACACGAAGTTTGTGGAGGTAGAAATTAAGACCTTAGAACATGTGTGTCACACTATGCTGACTTTTGAGTTGTCCATTCACACTCTATAAATATTTCTTCTGTCACGCTGCCGCTCTCACAGCGTTACTGCAACAGCACTTATGCCTAGATTTTGTGAAGAACTTGTGCAATAAAAATCTCAAGTTAGTGCAGAGAAGAAATACATTAAATAGTTTCTAAACTGACACACAGATTAAACAGAAAGTAAAATAGGTTTTTTATCGAGGTGAGTGGCCTGGTAAACATCCTAGGGCTTTATCAGATGATGCTGCTTGCATTTTGAATTTACTGTCATTTGTTGATGAAGCTCTGCTTAGAGTTTGATGTTGCTGGTTTTTTAGTATGTTGTTCACTTGTTCTTTGGTGCTTAGGAAATTTACCATAAAAATTTTGGACCTCATGCAATACAATTTTTTTTCTTGTCCTTAAGAAATAATAGGGATAAGGAAATCATCACCAGCAAGCTGGGTTGAATAAGCTCAAAACCACTGCCTCCACACCCTCTTCAAAAAGCTACTCCCGCACAGAATTCCACTTCGTATTTCATCAGATGTTCTTCCTTTCCCCTCCTTCCATGTTTGTCCCTGATCAGACAGCTCAGACCAGTCCACATCATGCCCCAAGCACATCTCACCTGCCCAGCACAGGGTGTTGTCCCCTCACTTGACGTACCAAAAGCCTGCTTGTGGGCCTGACTGCCTCCTCACAGATCCAAGGTGTCTGCATCTGCAGGACCAAGAGCACATGCACCAGCCCATACTGGGAAGGAACCTCAGACCGGGAGGGGAGAAGAAAAGCCAGGGAGGATCAGATAGGCCATCCAGACTAACCCTAGGCTGCCTGTAGCCATTGCTGGGCTGTGTCATCCTCCCCTTTCCCCAGCATCTTCTGTCAGGGTCATTCTCAGTGGGTGGACAAGAGAAATCCTGATGACAAAGAGGAACGTGCTTGCCATGGCTCTTATCCACAACAAGCACAGAAAAACTCACCCCAGGCTCCAGCAGGGTTCAGTTTTGAGGGCCTTGTGCTCCCTGTCATAAAGTTGATTGATTTGAATATGACTACTGAAGGAGGAAGGGGAATCTTAGGAGATACAAGTCTCTTCTGCCCTCTCCTTTCTCTCCCCAGGAATCTTAAGAGAGAATTACCTAGGCTGGGTTTACACAGAGATGTCTCATCTGACCCTTTGCCTCACTCCAGTGTCTGATCTATTCTGTGGGCTTCATTAGCTAAATTGAGTCCCAGTATCAGTTAACACAGGGTCCCTGACCCAGCAGGAGAAAACACTGGTGGGAGTTCAGGCGTTGATCTGTTATCTTGATCCCCCCCCACCCCACTCCCCCCAACCAAAGATGCCAAAGGATCTCCAGGAACCCCACAGTAATCCAATGGATCCTGGGAGCACTTCCTCCTACAATCCTTTGTGGCCTCGTAGATGCTGCATAACCTTGTCTGCGGGACAACTTCTAGTGTGTGCGAACAGCGCACAAGGAGCATCTACACGAGCGTATAAAGCATAGTCATTACCGCATACAAACAAGAAGTAGGATTTAATGGCCTAGCAGGATAAGTGTTAATATGCTCAGTGCCCGTTTTCCCTATGACCATGTCCATGAAATCCAAAGAACTGCCACTGCCCAGGCAGCTACTGGTCAA